CTGTTTATAACGCGTAAGTGGAGACAGAATCCATCAAGAGTGAGAGTGGGTGATATGGTGATAAACTGGGAGGATAGCATTTAATATCTCGGCATCACGTTGGACAAACGATTCACATGGCTTAAACATGTTCAACTGAAAAGAATTAGCTGCGCCAAAATTCTTCATTACCTCCAACCGCTATTTAGAAATGAAAACCTCAATGCTAAAAACAGAAAATTGATATATAACCAAATAATTCGTCCGTCACTTCTATATGGTTGTGTAGTGTTTAGCAAAGCTTCAAACACTACTATTCACCGGTTAGAAATTACACAAAGCCACGCTCTGAGAAAACTTTTCAAAGTTCCCTGGTACATTAGGACGAATGACATCCTCAGGGACCTCAAGATTGATCCCATCAAAAAATACATAAAGGATAGAGCCCTGAAATTATTTGCGTAATCTGACAGACTTACTAACACCGCGTTATCAAATCTCAGAATGGTTACAGGCTCCTCGGGGAGGTATGCAGATCTGAGGTCAATTATTGCTTAGTCTGATGAAGTGATAAACAATAATCCAGTCAAGGCGCAAAGAGGAGTTTTGAAGAAACCTCGCAGTTAATAGAGAGTAAAAGTGCTCAGGTGGACTGACTCAACTAGCCTCAACATAACAATAAAATGTGAAACGGGAATAACAAAATAGGTAGAGCAACAAAGTGGGACCAGAAAAGCCAAGGTAATGTTAATTATTTAATAAAAGAAAATACGCTAAATTATTTGTGCAATTTACTAAACGAAAAATCAGAACCTTTAAAATAGTCAATAGAAATTAAACAAAACAAATTAAATGTGGAAATTGATTCAGAGATTATGTGCAAAAGGGGTTATGGTGCCAACGACCAGAAGTAAATGAGTGAGTCCCACAGTGGTAGTAAATAAAGGTGATGGCAGCATAAGGTTATGTGTGAACTGCAGAAAAACAATTAATCGTTATGTAGAAAATGAGCAAGGCAAGGTGTCCGAAAGATCACAAAAATTTTTAACCGTAAATACACATATTGGCTTATGCAAGTACACTAGAATGGTGTATGGGTTAAGAACGGCACCACAAATTTGTTCAAAAATTATAAGTGAAATTTTAAAGGGATTGAATAAAGTGCATTCATATTTCGATGATCTTCTAATTGGGGGAGCAAACATGGAAGAATGTGAAAAAAATTTAAAAGCAACTTCAGACAGACTATTAGAGCAAACGTAAAAACTAATTATAAAAAATGACAATTCTTTAAAAAGGAATCAACGTATTTAGGTAACACGTAGGTAAAACGTATTTAGGTAATTACTTAGGTAATTAGGTAATTAATGAAAATGAAATATAAATATATATAAATATATAAATATAAATAAATCAGAACTGAAATTGTATTTGCGGATGGTTAATTATTATAATCATTCAATAGTCGCGTAAAGACCTACTTTTGCAATTTTTGGGCTTCCGAAGAAAATTATGACGGACAATGGTCCACCATTTATTTCAAAGGCGTTTAAAGAATTTTGCAATAACAATAATATCGAATGTTTAAAATCACCACCATATCATCCGCAATTGAATGGCAGTGCGGAAAGTGGAGTACAAACTGTAAAAAGCGCATTAAGAAAGTATCTGATGGATTAAAATTAAATTAAATGTAAATGTTAGGATTTTAAAATAAATAATTTTCTTTTGAATTATCGTACTATTTAACAACGACAACAAGGATGTCACCAGCAGATATAATTTTTAAATTTAAATCAAAAACTGTTAATAGAATCCAAAAAATCAGAACAATTTCAGGGAAAAGAAAAATACAAATAAATTGGAAATTGGCAAGTTTAAAAATGGAAAAGAAGATAAAGCAATGAGTAAGTTCGGAAGTGGAAAAAAAATTAATATTAAATTTTAAATTAAATTAATTAAAGTTAAATGTAATTAAATGTAATTAAAGTTACATAAGCTATGATGGAAAACTCATAGAGTGTTTTAAATAAAAGTGTGGAGGAAATGATATTTATTTATATATATATATATAATCTCTTCCACACAATCTCTTTCTTTTAGTGTAGAATTAAGATAAACGTAAGAACACTATTCTGTATAAACGCTAATATAATAAATTGAGATGGTTCAGAAACGTAGAACAAGAACTGTCTTTTATGTGGCTCGAAGATATATATCAATACCCTGCTAAATTTAAAGCCCAGTGCTAGTGATAATCACCTAACTGACCCGAAACTGTATGTGAATTGTACAGTTGAACTTAAAGTTTTGTTAATTCGCTGTAAAAGTTCATTAACAAACGCACTTGCTCTATCATATCGAGTGTTTTTTAGCTGCATGAGAACTATTGATATCGATAACTATAGTTTGACAGCTAAGAATGTCTAAGTGTGTTGACATTTCTGTCCAGTAAGTTTTGGCTATTAATGATGAATCATTTAACGGTAAAACAAAGCCTCCGAATTGCGGAAATTTACTTTAAAAAAATAAATATATTCGCGAAATTTATAGAGCACTTCGTCTATTTTATGGTCAACATAATCGGTGTAATAAGCAAACTATTCGTGCAGTTATTGATCCTTTTCGCACTAATTTTACTCTCCTCGATTTAAAACCATAAACAAGGTAACAAAATGTGCTTACCGATAGAATATTGATGCTGTAGCACAAAGTGTTGAAGAAGAAGTTGAAATGTCAATTCGTTACCGTTCTCAACTTGTTAATCTTTGCCCTTCGACTACGTGGAAAACTTGACATTAGAATTTTGGCTTATGTGCCAATAAAATGCAGCTCGTGCAAGAATTGAAGCCAAAAAACTATCATTTTCATCGAATTTTTGCTGATTGGATTCGTTTGAAACTGGTTGAAGATGAGAATTTTCATCGAAGAATTCTGTTTAGTGATGAATAAGCAAAATTGCCATAGAAAGAATTCGTATACTGGCTACCTTCGTATACTTTCTAAGTTGGATGAATTTTCGGATTGATAGTTGCCCATTTTTTTCTAATTTACCCGTAAATATAATGATATCCTCAGTTATTTAATCTCCAAACTATATTTGAATTAACAACAGAAATGAAGGCAACAAGACATATTGTTTCAGGACCAAAAGTTTCTTGCAACCTTTTCTGCATATTGCATAGCGAAGTAACTTCTGTGAGCACTACAATCCACTTATGGCTACAAATTATTAAGCCACTCAAACCTGTTCTCAGGATCACACACACAGGTCTTGTTCTTCAGTATTTAAATATATTTTATGTCGGCCTTTTGAGGGGATATCCGTACCTTATGCTGATTTATAATTTTATCGGACATACAGAATAATTATATTTAATGGAGTCAATTGGAAACTTTTTCCCACTGCTAATTTTTAATACAATAAATTTTAATATGTGATATTAACACTTCTGATATCTTTATAATAGTATGAAGGTACATGCATAACATGTTTATAGTAAGTTGTTTTTGAGTTTTTTACTTTAAACAGATACTTTTTGTAAAAATTCATGAATGAGGGAAAAAAATTATTTAATTACTTTGCAAAAATAAAATGAAGCAAAATGAACTAATACTACGTTTACATTGTGAGATTAACAGTAGATTAAAGCAATCATCGAGGTTAAAGTACAAATCTTGTTGTTTAATTACAGATTTCATATGCAAAAGTTAATCTCGTTTCACGATCAAGATTAACTTGAAATCCCGTTAGAAATGGTGATTATTCTTTCTACGTTATGATCTGTGCAAATATCGTAGATATTTTTTACGATATTATAAGAATTGGAAAAGAAATGTCAAAATCTATTCAAAAAAAAAAATTTCAACATTTTAAAATGCCGAAGTGAATGTGTGCCTCAAACACTACTATTCGCCAGTTAGAAATCTCAGGCTCTGAGAAGACTTTTCAAGGTACCATGGTATATTAGGACGAATAACATCCTCAGGGACCCCAAGATTGATCAGATCAAAAATTACACTAAATATAGAGCGCTGAAATTATTTACGACTGACAATGATTAAAATGTCATTGTAGTGTTAAAAAAGTTAGTTTAGATCTTCTGAAAACGTCAGTTCATCAACTTGTTTTGGTTGAAAAAAAAAGTTGGTTTATAATTACCTTGTATTCCTACAGGCTCCCTAATTTATAGTACTACTCGAATATATGATTAGTACTTATAATTCTGCTTGCACTTTCTTAATTGAAAAAACACCTTCCCATTCTAGTGACGATGATTTTTAATCGTCATTTATACTCTTTGGCAAGTAAAAACTTGAGAAAAATGTTGCGCTTTTATACCTGATTATATTCCAACTAATGTAATTATAAGTTTTTACTATTATTTTGAACATATCACATACCTAACGTTAAGTAAATAACAATATAATAAAGTTTTTCGATTAATACCGGGGTTAAGTCGTTTATTTAACAGATAAATAAATTAAGTAGACCGAAATATTAAAATATCAAGACTAATTTTATATTTAAAAAGGCATTTTTTATAATTTTATGTGTTAAATAAACGACCTAAGCCCAGTAATAATCAAAAAAACTTATTGTAAATTGGTTGTAATAACAATTAATTTAATATAAAAAAATAAGAAAAATTTTGTAGTAATTGTATGCTAATTAATTGTATTGAATGTCAATTACGTCATTATGATAAATTATCAACATAGATTCCCTAAAAGTTTGAATAAAATTTATTTTGTACACCATTAAAGCGGAGTGGCAGATTCAGAATAACAGACCACGAAAAAACACGGATATAACTCATTCGACAAATCAATTCGATTCGACAATAAAAACTTTTTATAATGTGACAGATGAATTCTTAACTGCATGAAAAATATTTTAACAACTCAATATAACATTTTCTTCTATATGTAGTTTTTAAAATATAATGTAATGACTTTGAAAGATGAATACCTAATAATTGTACGAACACATAACAGTTAAATATTATTATTAAACTTACCTTCCTTGTGAAGCATATTGTATAACCAAATTGTGCAATGTACGCAATCTCGCTGGTATTTCGTATCCTGACGTTTGATTAGCAAATTGGCATGGTTGGGTTGGAGAAAGATTTGACCTATCATCATGCTCTTCGTCAGGGAATAATTCAACAACAGGGTCGGAACGATTTTTTTCACAACTTTCTTCAGATTCCTGATTATCATCATATTTCTTTATAGAAGCCATAAATTCTAAATGTTTCTTTTCTTCTTCTAATTGCGCAACAAGCTGTTCTGATGCTTGGAATTTTTGTTGAGTATTTGCCAATTCATCCCTTAACCAAGCATTTTCTTGATGTAACCGTCTTACTTGAGTTTTTAATTTTTGTTTTTCTGCTTCCACGTTCTGCAAATGACAAGTTAATGCCATCATTACCTGTGCTTCACTGAGTCCCAGTTCAATATTCTCAATATTTTTGGTAAAAAATCCAATTTTTTCATCTCTTTGAGTTTCACTAAAGCCGTTTAAAATTGAAAGATGTTCTACACGTAAAGCTTCAAGTCCTTGTGATACTATTTTAGTATTACTAATTATTTCTTCTTGAGACATTTGCGTCATTTTTCCAATACCTTCAATTTTCTTTCTAAAAAAAAAAAAATATTTTTATGAGGATTTTCAAATTAGATTTCTTGTACAGAAAATTAAATTAATTTAATACTGTTACTGTTTACATTCTATAATAATTTATTGTCTTAGAGTTTATCATTTTGAATACCGCATTAGAAAGGAGAAGTTTGATTCATTGTTAACACAAGTTCAATGGAAATATGAAATTCAGTGGAAAATAGAAATTCAATACATATTTACAATGGAGCGCATGAGCAAAATGACGTAATTTCACAAATTCGAATTTATATTATATTTCAATAGTTGCTTAGTGTGATATCTTTTTAAGAATTTATGAAAACAATAATTTTAAAATATAGCTTTAAGCAAAATTTTTAATAATAAAATTTGCAATTAGTGTTTACATATACAGCCTTTATCATAAGTTTTATAAACACATATTAACTTGCATTTTAGGAGAAATTACTATTTGCTATAAAGCGCTATTTAACTGCTCTTAGTTATAATATATATGTATATCTTTACGTGTTGTAATTATTTCAAGTATTTACTAAAAATGATATTAATATATTTCACTTATCGGCAATAAAATTGCAAAACACCAAATTTAGATGATACAACAATCGATAATTAAACTTATCGAAAGCATTGAATGCGTTAGAAATTTTAAAGCATGACAGCATTAACCCGAAATCACAAACATTTGCAAAAGTGATTCCATAAAATTACGAATTGTTTACATTAACAAAAAACAGCTGATGCGTTTTGGATTTGTTTGTGCATACAATGAATCAAAAAGTATAGGATAGTAAATTTCTTTAGAAACATATATGTTAAAACACCTAAAGTATACTATATTAATTTATTTTTCGAATGCAGTTAGTAATTGTATTTATACACAACGTAACACAAAAAATGTATCATTATGATAAATTATGATTTGTGAACTCATATATTAATGCACGCAATTATGCTTTTCAAATGTTATACATGTATTACATTCATGTAACATATTATTTACGGAATTTATTGGAAAATTTATTCGTTATACGCATTCATATAAAAATAATATATACTAATATATACTGTTTTGACTTTTGCATACAGTATGTCAAGAATGAGTTTACACATTGAAATAAAATTCACTTTTTCAACTTATAGTTGCAAAAACACTGCTTTTTATGAAAATGTAAAGCTTTTTAAGAATCAATTTTCAATAACTATTAAATTGAGAACATTAATATAAAATAAAATTCAGTTGTATGTCGTAAAATAAACAAAAGCTATGTGCGGTGAATTTGCAGTAATTGGCGCCCTGCGTTGATTCTTGTCAAAGATGATACTTAATTTTTTATTGTTTTCTAATTTTTTCACTTTACTAACTAAAATATGAATGTTTTTAAATGTAAAATGAAACGTTATCGCTTGGAGTGGAACAGTCCAGGTATTATAACCGTCACTTGGGGAAAAGTGTGCCGAAACTATGAGAAATATTTTACTAATATGTAGGACTATTTATAGTATTTTAAATCTAGCTGAATACGAGAGTAGATTAGAGCCAATGTATAAAATTATCGTTAAGACCAACTTTCACAGCATATGCAGAATATGTTAACATGAAGAAAATACGAAAAATCAGGAAAATTTTCAATAGTGTCTATACTATGGAACTCAAGGAAGAATATATTGTTATTGTTTCTTATATAATAGAGCGTCGGGACATAACGCGAAACAAACCCTTGTCAATTGTTCTTAGTAGAAATTTATTGAATTTTGCCCAAGATATTGTAAAGTATTTCTTGTTCTTGACGATGTTATAATTTTCCATAAGTTCTACCAGAGTGTGGTTTAAGGTGTGATCACATAGTTATTAAACGCAATATCACGTTTCCTGTTAAATTTTAATAATCATACATTACAATTTAAGGCTTTATTTCAAGCAGAAGTGTTGGAGATTCCTCTTTTGCAAGGATATCCAAAAATATTAAAGTAGTTTAGAGTGTTATTTAATAAGAAATGCAAATATAAAAGCAAAAGCCGTAGTTTAAATTTCGTCAACATAACTCAAAACACAAATCAAATATTGTTAGGATGTAAGATGTTGGAAACTTCAGAAAGATGGTATATTTTCTAACCCAGTCCTCGAAATAAAGTCTTTTCTGAAATAAGGTTGTTAAGTTGTAAAAAAAAGTGGGTCAAAAGTAACGAAAAACTCAAAATTCACTTAAAACTTAACTATTGCAAAAGTAAAATTTGATATCAAGCAATAATATCAATAGTTGGTTAATTTCATAAAAAAAAGGCTATAATATATCAAAGTATTCATTAAATGAAGTATATATTAAACATTTTTATATTAAACAGTTGCATAATAGTCTAAAAATTATATAGAGTTTGTTTTTGTGTAGGTTTCTAATAAACAAAATCGAAAAATATACAATTTTAATCTTAACGCATGGTGTTATTACAATAAAAAATTTAGAATTACAATAAAAAAGTTAGAACAGAAAAATCCAAATTTTTTTTAAAAATTCTCTTGCAGGAATAAACTTTACAGCAACACCTAAAAGCGCGCATAACTTTTATGTCACCCAAAAATATATATTTTATTGCATTTATATATATTTTAGTAATATATATATTCTAATATCATGTTTCCACTGCAGCTAAATGTACTTATGTTAATATAATTAAGATTTTATCGTTTCCATTGGCATGAGCTAATTTATGCATGGGAAATAGCTTTTGTATGTAAGAAAGTTCTGTATAAGTTCTAGGAAAGCTTTTGTTGGTTTACACTTCAATTGTAATCAGATAATATTTAGTTCTGTGTTGGCATAAGTTTATTAATTCAGCAAGGAAAACGCATAAATGCAAATAATTTAATATATAATATGTACTTTCGGTGGTTAGCAAGTGTGGCAAAAAACAACAATCGCTAACCTATAGTTGCTTAAATGTATGTAAAATAATAACATTACTTTCACTGTCTAAGCATTTAGTTGTGAAGTAGTCAATCACTTTGGTCACTACAGAAAATAATGTTACCAACGCAATAAGCGAAATATTGTGAAGCTTTATTGTAAATTTCGACAATATTGCAATCATACATTAAGACCGAAAAGTTTTCGGAAATTCTCATTTAAAATTCGCGCGCTGTATATTTTTCGATATTTTAGTTTATGTAGTTTGGCAGCACTTTGGTTAATTACTATGCCAAAAATGAGCGCGATCTGTCAGACAGTTCGTTTACGGCAGCTGTTGAAACCAGTTCACCTCAGTAGGGCGTTGCGAAAAAAACAATGGAAAAAAATATTGAACAAAGAGTTTGCATCAAATTTTGTGTTTCGAACGAAATTTCGTGTGCAGAATCGTTGCGAATGCTACAAAAGGCTTATGGGGAATCAGTTTTATCGAAAACTCAAGTTTATGAGTGGTACAAAGCCTTCCAGGACGGTCGTACGACCGTCGAAGACATTTCGCAACGCACTACTGAGGTGAACTGGTTTCAACAGCTGCCGTAAACGAACTGTCTGACAGATCGAGCTCATTTTTGGCATAGTAATTAAGGACAGTGCTGCCAAACTACATAAACTTAAAATATCGAAAAATATACAGCGCGCGAATTTTAAATG